AAGGAAATAAACAAATTGTCAACCTAGCGAATACTTTGAATCCATAACAGACATTATAGTTGTAATAAAGGCAGAAATTATACTTTAGATGTAAAACAGTAACAGAAAATACAAATTAAGCTGTCTCTGTTTCAGTTTATGATAAGAAGCTCAAACAACACTTAACTTACATGGATTGTAGTAAATGCTCGTTCACTAAATAGTGATCTCTGGTCATCTCAGTGAAGTGAACCTCAACAATTACAATGCTCACCCGATGAGTGATCAGTTGAAAGCTTGCTCTGATATTCTCTCCCCAGGACTAGAAACTTTTAGATCCTCATTTTTAAATCAAATGTTCTTCTCTTGAAAGCCACTGGAAACCAAAAGTTAAGCTGTAGTCAAGTTTGATTGAAAGCTGCAGTCTTGTTAGCCAATCAAATTATTTGAACAATTCTAACAAGGATTCTGATCGGCTTATTTTAGCATGCTTTATCAGAGTACAGAGGCATACTTAGATCACTTTTTCTCATTTGAAAAAACACGCAAGGCACATTGTCGTGAAATCAACATTTTACTGTTTTTCACATGAAATCAACATCTCTGAGCTTTCATGTTTACGTGACATTAAAATTTTACTGTTTTTTAAGTGAAAAAAGCATCTTTGAGGTTGCCCGTTGCGTGAAATCAACATTTTACTGTTTCTTTTGTGGGCTTATGCATTATAGATGCATAAAGCCCTCTAAGTCAGGTCAACTCTTACATCTATGCACAGGGGCTGACATGTGACTGGTGCTGGAAATAACAATCAGTCAGTCAGTGTCCGACCAAATTTTGAATATTTCCGGCCAATTTCACATATGATCGAACATGATGTCCAAACATTTCACTAACACTTTTGACTTCTTGCCTTAAAGTTATTGTCTCTCCACAAAATTTGGTTAGATACATTGATAAATGGCTCAAAGTTGTGACCACTACTGTGGTGACCAAAAATTCTGGTTTAGTTGACAACCGAAAATACTTACGTCTGTTTTCACAGGCGACAATAATGGTGACTACGTTTCTCTGTGTTGACGATCAAGAAAAGGAAGCAATCAATCCTTTTGCTTTGCTGTAAAGGACTCTCTCACATCAGAAAACTTGCAGATGGTTGATCGTGTTTGAAACTGACCTATAATGCATTGCTAACCCTTGAGTGTTGAGTACATCATGTATGCCTAATGATTGTGTCTCTCGTAACACGTGGATCCTCCATAATTGCATTTATATAACACAGCCAAAAAATTCTTGGAAATTTTTGGTGCAGTGTGCACTATTGGGATGGTTTGGGGGTTGACGTCGCTAAAGCACTATGTCAATAAGGCAATAAGGTAATAAGGTAATAAAGTGTAAACTTTAATGTTTGTATAATTAATTAATTTCAATTAATTAATTAGGCTTGCAGCAAGGGAGTGGGTAGGACGGGGTAGGTACTTGTGAGCATTTTGTAAAGCGGGTGGTGCATGTACGTACGTTACTTCTTTGATCACTTCAAAAAGCTATATATTTGTTTCAGAAAGCCCCTTGCTCTCCTTGTGGTACTTTTCTCTTTAAAACAAAACCAATATTTGCTCTAAATGCATGTGCAGATTAAAAGTATTAGTGTCGACTACATATCATGTGGAAGATACGTTTCAAACAAGATCACACACTAACGTTGAGCGCTTTTCCTTGTGGTAGAACCTAATAAGTCATACGCATGCATTCTAGCATCATTGGTATGATACAAAAATGCTACTGTGACTGCATATCTTTTGGAATTACGCCTAACTTGAAGAAATATCATCTGTTGTTTCCAAACTACACTAGTGCGTTTATTTCATCCTTTAATTGTCTCTATCAAAGAGACCAAAATGTTCATACCCGCAGCACACAGAAGATTATCACAGCCTTTGTGTAATTCAACTCCATTGATGAGGTGTCTTTTTGAGATTAATTGATGAATTCTCAATTGCTGACTTTATTATGTAACAGACTAAGTCACTCTTTATGGGAAACCATCTTGACACTGCTTGTACATTTGACTCTGTAAACAAAGTCTTCTGCTGTCCATAAACTCTCCATCTTAGAATTATTTCTAATGACTGGTCTACATGTATGTTGATATCAGCAAATTAAAAATAATATTATATGTTACCTGATTCATTATTTTTTTACCCTTATTTTTTCAGTAAGTGCCTACCCACTCGTAGCACTTACACTCACAAAATAATGGATTGAAAATAAACACAGGCTCACACTGCAGACCTATTTTTTTAAAGCAAAATCAACATCTCTGAGCTTGGGCACCAAAGTGAAATTAACATTTTCCTTTTTTTTTAAGTGAAATCAACATCTCTGAGCTCACATATTGACGTGAAATGAACACTTAACTGTTTTTAAGTGAAAAAAGCATCTTTGAGGTCGCCCACTGGTGTGAAATCAACATTTTTTTTAAAGCTTTATTGGGTTTCAATTATCCTTTACATAGCTATGTAAAAAAAACAAACAAAACACTACCCTAAGGAAAAAAAAAGAATAATAAATGAAAGAAAAGGTATAATACCCAAAAGGGCAAGCATGAATGAGACCAAAGGACCTATGCAAGGTGCTGCCCAAGTGGAAAGTTTACTCGTCAAAAAGCTATTTTGCCATTTTTTGAAGGAAAGACGAAATTATTGCTTTGAAAACTTGAAGTGAGACAAGCTTCTTTGCTTTGTTGTGGAACTCTCGTTTTGAGCTTTTTTCTGGCAATTCAGAGCAAAAAAAGCAAAATATAACCAAAAATTATGACCCTTCATTTGTTAAATACAAAGAATGAATAAGGGAATGTTTAACTGAGTCATTGTTAAGGAAAGCACTAGTTACTTAAGGCGGCTCTGTATAGTTTTACCTTCGCACGTGTGCTGAGGATGAAAGCTCAAGTAATCTGTGTGTGCTTGAAGGAAAATGTCCATATTTTTTGAATGTTATGACAACATGAGTACAAAAAGCAAAACTGACAGTCAATTTTCTTCCATTTCCTTCAGTGAAATTCCCTAAAATTTGGCAGACTGGTAGTAAATATTTTACTTTTGTTTGAGCTCATTTTTCAAAGAAATCTATGAGACCATTTTTTTGCTGTTTTTTCAGACATAAATTTTCAAAAATAAAAAAAAACTGCCTGTACAAACCCTACCTTTTTCGTGTTTGAGATCTGTATTTCGCAGGATGCTATGTACTGTGAAAAGTTTGGAAGACTTCAGTGAAGGAAATTCAAGAAAATCACAAATAAAGCCATGAAAAAAGTAAAAAATACTCTTGTTTGGGCATTTATAATTAAAGACTAAAACCCAAAATTTTAACAGAGATGATTAAGTAAAACACTATTTAATCATTGCTTGCTACATGTAGTAAGTTTGGGAGGACTAGGTGCAAAATCGAACGCAATTAAACAGCATTCAAGACATGAGACTTGCGCACACAACGCCATAAATGATTACCCTATGGAGCCGCCTTAAGAAGAGTTGAACTGCGTTTTGGGGAGAAGTTGGTGGTTAAGGTGATTCCTCAGAAATTAAAGTTCTCAAACATTTTTTTGAAACTTTTCCTGATTGTTCTCTACCAAGCACTGTTTCAAAAGATACAATAAAAAGGATAGGCCACCATGCTTGCTTAAGAGATACATGTATGATGTGCCAATCTTCCCCCATTTATGCCTAATCATGCACATTGTTTAATAAGTTCACATTACATTTTGTGGTAGCTGGAAGTAAGGGTTATTAAAGCGATACTTGAAAAAATCTTGATAGGTGGAAATTCTCAGGGACTTGGGACAATGCAATATATAATTTATGGAAAAATCACATAGATGTACGTGTAATTCTTTACGACATTGGCTCAAAGCATTCCTCGAATCATTGTTTTTGAAGATATAATTTGCATCCTCGAGGCAATAAAACTAACGGTTTTGGGCATTCTTTTAGCTATATCTTTTTTTCCTTTCAAACTATCTTTTTCTTAATTTTTTAATTTGAGAGGATCTTTTTTACACTAAAATTATGCAATAAAAAGATAGGTCACTGTGTTCGTTTAAGAGAAAACAAGCATTTATTTCGCTGTTGAGCTTAGCTTAAGAGAAATCTCTTATGTTGTGTATGTGCATCTGCTCATGTGCACGAGTGGGTGAGAATCAAGTGCAGAAGGAATGACCAATGTGATACTGAGGAATCACCGTAAAGATCCTTAATTCTCATAAATTGCCTAGACTTAAATTGTTATAAATAGTAAAGAGAGTGCATAAATTGATCATTGGGAGGAATTTGCAGGTAACACAGTCAGTTCTTTTTAACTAGTTCTGTTTTTTTTGGACTTTCAGAACCAACATACTTTGATGTACTTTTTGATTCTGGAGAGGAATTTGTTCTTAACCACCCGGTTTTACCAATTACTATAATCAAATTCAGATGCAATGAAAATGCTACATGGGAGGCCTCAAAAGATCACACAGAAGTTCCAAGACTTGCCCATGTGCATGTAAATTACACTATAAAGGATGAATTCCTCACGGTAGGTAAAATTAATAACTTTAGAAATTTAAGATGAATCTTCTAATAATTATAAATTAATTGAAACCTGAAAAACAACAATGTGAAAAGACCAAACTCTCTATTTCACACACAAATCCTCATGTGAAGTTGGAATTACAGTCAAACTCATAAAACTGTGAACACCTAAAATATGTCTGGAATGTTTAATATGTTATATAACCAATCACGAACGAGATCTTCAACCACAGAAACTGCAGAAAACAGATGTATCGCATTGATCATGGAACTATAAATATAGTTTTGGTTTTCGCTTGATCAGCTCCCAGTTGGCATGATAGCTCAGTTGGTAGAGCACTGTACTGGTATCACAGAGGTCATGGGTTCAAATCCCGTTCAGGCCTGAAATTTTTTCAGGCTTTAATTTCACAACTGCTTAAGTTGTGTATATAACTGCGATGATCAATCATGTCTTCATATTCTCCGCAGTTCAAATATATAATCTTTCATATATTCACTTGCATCCAGTACTTAGTTTGAGTGATTTTGGAAAACAAAAATCCTGCCGATGTGTACAGTTACTCAAGCGAAGCGACAGTTAATTTGACCCGGCTGTAAATAGGGATGAATAAAAATTTAAATTTTGGTTGTTTTGCTAACCTTGGTATCATCTTTGGTTAAACTAGCAACTCAATTTATTTTAGCAGATAATTACAATCCCTTGGGCCCAGTGATTTGTTGATCTAAACACCCTGGAAAGATTGATGACGATATATGCAAATGTTTCCTAATTTTGGAATTAGTTGTGGCAAAGAGACACCTCAATTTTCCGCGGTTGCTTCCCAAATAAATTTGCGCTTGATTCACATATTACAAAATGTAATGGAAGACTTCCATTTTCATCAATTTCACTCTTTGCTTTTCGTCATTATCAAAATAAAGAAACGAAATAAGGAAAGCACCGATTTGGATCGTTCAGGCTTGAGTGATTCAACAGCCACTAGTGCAGTCGTGTCGGCCCGGCACATTGGTTTGTGAAAATAGTTTTTTCACATTATAAACATCCCAAACTCATGTACATCTGCTTTCCACAGTTTCTGTGGTTGAAGATCTCACTCGTGATTGGTTATAACACAATAAACATTCCAGACATATTTTAGGTGTTCATGGTTTTGTGAGTTTGACTGTAACCCTCTGGGTGCAGAGTAAACTATTGAAATGGTTTAACAAGCTGTTGACAACTTCTGAAAGTGCAAACACGAATTAACACCGAAATTGACCTCTCACTCAGAAAAAGCC